GACGCTAAACACTGATTATACAACTGATTCTTAGATCGAATTTGCCATTTTTTTCGTGTCGCGTAGCATTTTTTCTTTGCTTTTTCTTCTCTCTCTCTCTCTCTCTCTCTCTCTCTCTCTCTCTCTCTCTCGATCTCACTCTCTCGGGCTATCTCTTTTCCCGTCTCCTTCTCTCTTACATTACTAGCTCATAGTTATAAATGCCTGTAAAATTTCAAGCAGAAAAAAAAACTTCATTTTTTCCTACACAGTTTTTGCCTGATGGAATCGATTCCAAGAAAGATAAGAAATGGTTTCGTTCCTTTGAAAATCGTCTAACATTGTATACAAACTATCGCAATCAAAGCGTTTAATTGTTTATTTGGATAGCACTTTGTTAGCTTTTCTCTGGACTTACAGTTGTCGAACGGTTTTTTTTTTTCACAAACGCATTTTATTTTTCGCTCCTCAATCGAATGCAAACACAAACAAAACACGCAACGGTTTTTTTATTTGCAACCAATTAAGTTTTCAACGAGATCAATGAAAATGCGAGCGACACATCATTCGCATTGACAGCATTTCGATGCGTCCCATTGACAATGTATCTCAAGTAGCAAATCAACATTTTATAAAAGTGCCAACGCCGCTGCGGCTGCTGCTGCTGCTGGTTTGAGTGCGTATTTTGTCGGAAGTTTTTGCATACCAAAAAAGACACACACAGTACATGAGCATCATGTTCATGAGATCCGAAGAAATTTCTAATTTCATATACACATTTGTCCATAGGCCCTATATATCAAATCGCCTATTTCATTTAGTGTCACAAGCGTTTTGTGTATCGCTATTTCGTGTGTGTCGATTTTTTTTTCTTCGTTTCGCAATTTGCAAAAATAATTTTTTTTTCGGCGCTGTGACCGTGTGCGCTCTTCATACAGTACACACATATTGAAGCATGTGTGCAAGGTCACAGACAGAGCCACAGCTACAGCACACAGAGTGAGCCTCGACACTCTCTCGACAACGACAACGAATGAACATTGAAAAGAACTGAGCGAAAAAGAAAAAGAAGAAGCGAACGAAAAAAAAAATTCGCGAATTCGCAAAAGTGACGCGCAGCAAAATAGCAAAACGCAACAACAACAACAACAATACAATTGAGTGATAGATTGACTTGTGGAAGTGCTAGCGCGTTTGGTTAGACGCGATATGCACAAAAATATACGTACAGTGTGCCATAGCAACTGGCCGAATAGAGAGCGCGACGCGGCATACAGAGAAACACACTAGGAAAAAAATGGAACGAGCCGCTGCCGAATGTGAAAACAAAACGTTGCGCTTGGGCCAATGATCGATTTAACGAGAAAAATTTTTTCGGCCTGTTGAATGAAAATTCAAAAATAAACACAGATAAAAGTGGATGGTTCACCTCTTTTTCATTCTCTCCGAGTATTTTTTTTTCTCATCATAAACGATGAGTAGTTCGTTTTTTGTTGTGGTGACGCGATATGTTTGGTAATTACACAAGGCTCGAGTACATCAAACGAATGTGTAGTGAGCTATTTCAACGTGTTCATTAGCTAAATTTCGACGGTTAGTTGATTTCCCCTTTCAGTACAGCCGGCGAATAAAAAAAAATTAAACTGTGGCAAATGTGTGATGATGCTATGGAGAGTCGCTGAAAAATTGCCTATATGTCGGAAAGCGAAACTGGCTCAATCAATACCATGTGACTAATCCAACTGCTGTTGCTATTATCAACCGTTTGATATGGCCTAACTTGAACGATAAGAGCACGCAAATTAAACTCTGCGACTTTTTCTGTTTGCCAAGCTATAAATAATCTCTCTTAATTTGTATAACGCTTCACTCGTTTTCAACTCGTTGCATTTAGAGAAGGAGAGAAGAGAAAAACAGAACCAAAGAAAACAACTAAAATGGTTAATATTCTCACCGCCCCTGAATTCGCATTCTGTCCAATGTCTCGCTTTACCGGCGAGAGCGTCCAAAAAATGCTAAACACAGACGAAACACAAAAAATTATCCAAATGAAGATATGATCTTTTTTGTATTGTTTAAAATTTATGGCGCTTTGTTGCCAAATTGCAACCAGGAAACAAGCGCAGTCGTCCGTTACCGCTCTTTGCTTTCAACTCATTTGAACCACATTTCGCGTCGTCCATGTCGGTTTCACATTTATTCCTTTCGAAAATGGTTTGAGAAAGGCATTTGGCCGATATTCTCTGTGTGCGTTTTGTTTTTCGTCTGTAAGATTTTCGGTTTGCATTTCGACTGCAATTTTCAAGAGCTATTTTTTTTTCTTCTGTTCTTGTTATTGTTGAACGCTACGTTAATTTTGATCGATCAACTGGAATAGACGCATTTTAATTGGGCACATGTTGTCTTCGGTGTAGAGAAGTTAAAATAAGAACTTCTCGAGTGTGTCTGTGGAAAATATGTTGGTTTGTTACACAAAAGTATTTTTCGTTTGTTATGGAAACACACCCATGCCTAAATACGAGGTTTGTTTTTGTCGTGGCATTTTTTTTTCTTCTTCATTCATACACACGTACGATCAACACACTCGTGTGCATTGGAATCAAATTTCGAATATACAAGTTCATTTCCAGAAAAACGCATAAAAGATATATGCCATTTCTAATGAAGAAGTGGCAATAATTCTGCGTTGATTACTCGGACCGGTGGAATTAGAGCTCATACGATTTATTTGACGCCGTTGTACTCTCTGGCTGTATCTCGAATACATCTTCATATCGTCTCTGCCTCTGTCTCTCTCACTTATTCGAATGTGTGTTGTTTATTCCACACCAAATGCACTTTTTCGTTCATTCATTCATTTGTCCGTCAGTCAGTCGTGCAACGGATACGCATGTAAAGTGGGGCGGCTCAATCGAGCCATACGTAGCAGTTGAATTAGCTGTTCGACACTTTTATTACAAGATTTCTAAGAACCTCAAGGTTCAAATCGCATAAAATGGTGTTTGTGTTTCGGATTTCAGATTAAAGTTTTGAGAACTTTTTCCATTCAGTGTTGATCCATTGTGTGTGTTCTTTGCTCGTTTGACGTTGTTTCGCTGACGATGTTTTGCGAATTCCGTTCACATTCAAAACTATGTGCACTTGATGCGAGAAAGATGTTCATATAACTGGAATGAAAAAAAAAGAATTCAAAAGAATCGGCATTAAAATTTGCATTAAATACACCGAAAGAAGTGAGCGGAAAAAAAACACAACACAAACTCATCGCGAAAAACTTGAATGAATTAACCGAAACGGTGTGAATGAAAGCGATGGAAATGTTTCATCAGGGCTTTGGGAATAATTTTGAGAATTTAATTGAATCTCGCTACATCATACAGCTGAGATTAAGCTGTTGCTACAGTTGCTTTTGGTTTTATTTTACCTTACCTTCATGCCACTTTACCTTACATTTTCTGCAAACTTTCGACCGGCAAAATTCATCAATGAAAAATCTCATATTTGAGCGTCTCAATAATTTTACGCACGATTTACGCTCTCTCATACCCACATCGAATGAGGTGAGCGCATGACAAGAGCTTTGGCTTGGGAAACAGCGCATTTTAATAATGATGTTGTTGCACCAGAAAAAAAGATCATGTTTCAATTGAGACGCGTTCCGCGTAAGTCGCTCACTCGCGCACGCTCACACTCGTCTCTTGCCTTGCATCTCGCTCGCTCTTGCTTTTACCGCTGTTGTTTCCCAGGCAAATGTGGCGGCTCGGCACGAAATATGTGCGTGAAATTTGTGCATTTTAGAATCTTTTTTTCATTTGTCTGTTCGTGCTGTTGCTCACTTCTGCGTTTGTTTTTTTTCTTTCTGTTCGTGCGTTGTTTTTCGTTTCTTCTTCCATTTGATTTGAAATTCGGTGTTGTTTTCATTCGTCTTATCTTCATAATAACATTGCATTTGCGTTGGCTTGATACGCAAATGGGAGACGTTATCACATTGAAATCTACGAAAATTTGCATAGATTTCTTCTTGTTTTTTTCTTTTTGCTGCTGTTGCGAGCTGCATATTTTCTTTCCGGATTTTTGCAATTCAATTATTTCAACGCAATGCAATGTTTAGCGTAAGAAAAAAAAAAGAAACTGAACAAAAAGACTGCAACAAGATAAAGATTACGGATTTGCGACGCAGTGATTCATGTGAATTTTGTTTCGCGTTTTCCCATCGACGTGCCGTTTGAATATCAATACAATTACGGAGAACTGCGAGAAGTTCATTCGAATCGTGTAAACATTTCAGATGTTGTTTCCATCTTTTGTCTTGTTCTGACCTCATGATTCCATTTCACCTGAAAATGAAATGAGCCCTGACGTCGAACGGCCAATCAATTGACATGTAGCACGGCGCCCGGCGCTCGGCACAGCTGTTAATGCGATCGCATCAGAAATGAATAGTAATTAGCAGGTTTTAGCATTTAATTCGAGTGATTACCGGCAAAGTGGAGCTATTTGCAAACGAGAATGAATGTTGAATTCAATTTCAGTCTAGGCACAAATATATCAATGTGTCATCCATCGAAACAAACTTTTTGACCTGACATATTTTTTTCCACTTCGTTTTTTTTTCTATTCTCGTTTTCACAAATGTTTGAACATACACACACACACATTCCTTTGCTCTGCCATCCAGAATTATTATTATACGTAGATTAGTACACGGTGCGAATGAGAACTGTTGCCATGCTCATTACATTCACTGAATTGCACACGATAATTAATGAGATAGCGTCATAAATGTTCTTTTTTTTTCGTTGGATCGAAACGCGTACAAAAAGAAAGAAACTGAACACCAAGACCAAAGTGATTTTTTTTTCGACGCTGTCAATCTCTCCTGTGAATAATAACGAGGCTGTACGAAATATCGTCTTGTCTTGTCTTTGATTAACGACCGTCCGTAATGTCAAAGTTCTCGATAGAAATGCGGTGAAATTTCGTGAATATTCCTAATGACTTTCTCTTCTATTTCGTTGCAGGTGTTTTAGAGCGATTCTCAAACAAAACCAAACAAAGCTGAATGGAAATTGATCAACATTGCTAAAATAACAACAAAAAATCCATTTAAAATTCCATACAACACAAATTATTTATGGTTGAAATGAAATGCTAATTGTTCCCAGAAAAAAAACGCAAAACAAAATCGAATTTTGATTATAAAAATGAACTCATACGAAACAATGACTAAAATTGTGTGTTTTTAATCAAAAAGTAAGAAAAAAAGGACATCATTTGAATTGAGTTTGTCTTTTGTGACGCTTTACAACTTATATTGACTCTTTTTGTATCATAAAAAAAAGTGAAAAAAAATCTCGCGTGTTTTTACAAGGAGAAAGAAAAACAGAAAACGTTTTCAAAATTCGATTTCGGTCCGTCGGCTGAGCATCAGCTAATATAAAAATTGAACAATTCCCGAAAAACATTTGCAAAAACAATTGAAACCCACTCATCGCGTGCACGGACCACTTGTTTAAACAAAGTGAATCGATTTTAATTTTCTTTCTTCGAAAAAGTTTGAGTAGTTGTAAGAAGAAAGGAACTTTCGACAGCGACACGAGAAAAAAAGACACTTTTGCAATCCAAAAAAAAAGAAACGGAAATATTTGGAATAAAAAAAACACTTTCGGTCACATTTGAATCAACATTTTTTAAAAATGCACGCCAAGTTCACCAAGATTCAATGTACGACATTGATATTGTGAAAGAGAAAGAGAATACAGAGGTTGACCAAACTCATACCAAACACCACATTAAGAAGCGGAATTGGAAGACTACCGTATCTAAAGTCGAATCGACGCTTTGTTCGCAACAACAACAGCCACAAAATTTTGGTTGAACATAGCGAGAATTCACCCGACGAATACAGAGCCATCGTTCGATCTCTTTTCTCTACACACACAAACACAACACCACACTCAAACGCATCCAAACAACCAAAATCGCCGTCATCCAGTGGAACGGCTTCAACGCATTCGTTATTTATGGATAGCTGGACGGGTGACGCCCGACTGGCGAGATACTTTCAATAAGGTAAGTTTTTTTCTGTTTCATTCTCACTTTGTTTTGGCCAATGAAATGATCATTTGAATAACAAAAATCTGCAAATATTGTTGCCCATAAAATCCTATTTATCAAAAGGAATAAATTAGTCGAAAATGTTCCGCATTAGCAAAAAAAATATATATTTATACTAGGAAATAAAGTATAAAACAAGCGAAAAACAGCCAAATCGACTCTTTTAAAACGGGAGAGGAAGAGAGAAAGACAGACAAAATGCCACATCATCGCCGGTCGTGTCGTAATCTACTTTAGCGATTTCGACGAAGACAAGCGATACCTAAATCAACCGAAAAGACACACACACACATACACTCAAGCACATAACGCACTAAACGAGACGATAGACGGCTGACACACATCAAGAGATAGAGAGTGAGAGAGACAGAGAGATGGAAACGTTGAATTATGCCGTCATGGAAGTATTTTAAATGTCATATGCATTCGCGGGCGCTCTCTCTGTCTCTCGCTCTCTCTCTCACTCGCTGCAAACGCGCAAAAAACCGATCGGATATCATGAACATGTATCGATTACTCTCTCGACTCACAACGCAAAATTCGACAGAATCATGTGAAATGTCCGACACTTGGATTGAATTTCTATGTTTCATAACAAGGGCTTGAATGTTTTTGCTGCCAGAGAGAAAGAAAGGGAAAGAAGAAAAATGAATGGAACGTTTGAAAAAATCATTTCAAGTGAACATCGTTAGATGTCAAATGCAATCGTGAGTCATGATGCTGTTGGAAAAAAACGCGCCAATACAAACGGATCCGTGTTGTCGAACAAGAGCGAAAAGAAGCGGGCATACACTGTATGCATTTCAATTTGATAGACATAAAAAATCCTTCTGAAAAACACATACAAAAGCGAACGAAGAAAAAAAAACACCGAAAAAATGCTTCAAAGTGGACGAGTACTTGCATTCAATGACTATAAAATGTTCGGCATCAATCTCATCTCAATGGAATAAAAAAAACCATTCAATTCGAATGCATTGATCCCACATTTTCCATGTCGAATTATTCAGTTTCGTTTATTGCGTAATTTGCTGTCAATCATTCGATCGATCAATTTCATTGCTTTAATTGTGCTCTCAGCGTCGTCTAAACGCTCTGTTTACACAATTCTTGCTTTTCCAACGCATTCACTCACATGCGCGTACATTCGTCGATGCAAATTAGTATTCCAGTCAAAGTAAATGAATCAATGATGAGCATCACACAACACTGACTCACACACTCATTTGACATATGCAAAGTTTTAGATCGTATCGAAACGACATCCTCTGCATTGTTTTAATTTAGTGCGTAAGCCGCTTGTCGAGACTGAGTTCCGCCGATTTTTGGAATTGGTTTCGCTTGAGCGACTCTCCGAGCCCACAAATGGCAATACAGCGAATTCGCCTGGAAACAGTAGGCAATAATGGCACAAGCACTAAATTTGTAGTTGAATAAAACAGAAGAAGTTGTCAGTAATGTGTTTTCAGCGATAACGCGATAAAATGACACACACCATGCGCGCGCATAATCATAATTTCTTTTTTTTTACAACCGCTCGCTCGCTCGCACCAAAGGTCCATAATTATCACCTTGTTGATTTACCTGAAAGCCGTGATCGCGCTGATTCAAAGCGACTGATAAAACAAGAAAAATGTTATTTTGCAGAAAATGTCACACTTCAGAAGTTCGCAGTTGGACCGTAGCCATTGCGGTCTCTCGCTCATTTGCTCTTTTCCTCGCGAGAAATGTGCACGCTTTTTTTCTTCTCTCGTTGCATCTTAAAAGCATGAATTACAAATGCATACAATCGTTCATTCCGCGCTCAACAGTGAGCTGTTTGCGCATATACTTACTTGTATATTCATTTTTGCCTTCAAAGTCAGTGTCAGGGAATTTGATACGCACATTTACATAACGCACCACATTACATCAAACAAAGTTGCGACTGCATAATAATTCGTGGTAAAAATATTGTCGCTGACGTTTATTTCTCGATTCTTTCGGTTATTCTGTGTCTCCTTCTCGCTCCGAGTGTGTCTGTGGTGGTGGTGGTGCAAAATGCGCCAAGAGAATGAGTATGAATCGTTGTAAGGAAGTCAGCAAGCGTGTCGCCTATTGCAAATTAGGTTCATATTTGCACTTGCTACTTCGCGACTACGACGATTTGCAAATAGAAAATTGTCCGTTGTTGCTGCATAGGCTTCAGTGTTTGTGCATAATTATCAATCGACGTTGCTATTTTTCCTACTACTTCACCACGTCTTCGTGAGGTGGATTATTCTTCAATGTTTGTCTATATGTTTGCTGTTCCGTTTTTCCACTGCTGTTGTTGTGCATGAGAGACCGACTTGATTTTTTATATTGTTGTTGTTGTTGTTCAGCCGACGGCGCGTGTACGCATCGAGTGCGTACGTAAACCGATTTTGGATTTATGAATTATGCGTGTGGATTGAAATACAGAACGGCGTAAAATGCGTTCACAAGTTGAAGGTAAGCCTCGGGCATTAGCATTTTTGTTGCGTTTACTCCACGACGACAATATCGCCCGTCCAAGTTGAAGGTTGAAATTACTATTTGTAATCGACGTTCAGTATCAGGGTTGATGAATTCACTACACTCGCTGTATATGCATTACGTAAGCGAAGAAAAAAAACATTTATATTATTGCCATTTTCAATTCAACACACAATTTTTGCAAATCTTTGGCGTTTCTCTTCGCTTTGAGAGTGGAAAAAATTGTTGTATTTACGAAAAGAGTACGATTATGATCATAACAATTGTGAAGCGCTCTCGCTAAATTGGCGCAACAACTGTGTGTTGAGCGAAAAAAGCACACACACACACACACCGAACGCTTAGAGTAGCGAGATAAGAATGCACATATAATTGATATAAATTGGTGAGCATTTCGCATATTACGTGACTCTTGTAATAGAAAAATCACCGAACAAATTGAATTGGAACGGAAAAATGGAGGATCAAACACAACGCCAACGGGGAATGAAACAGCAGCAACAACATCGCAATCCATCATATGTTGAGTGTGTCAGTTTTGTGCGAATGCACACAATTAGGCCAAAGTACAACGCACAATATCAAGCGGTCACAGAATGCTTACACCGACACACTGAATTAGAGATTGAGCGAGAGTAAGCAAGAGAATGGAAGAGTGAAATAGGACGAAACGGAGAGAAGAGAGAGAAAGGGACAGAGAGTGCAAAGCGAATTGGAAAAGTGTAGATTTCTTGTTGAAACGTCAAAGAAATGCCGAAAATAAATTATCTCTTGTTTGAAAAAAAAGAGCAAATCGCACGAAATTCCAAATGCCAAGCGGACGCACACAAAAGTGAGTAGCGAATGGAAGACACAAAGCGACAAATGCAAAGATCTCTCGATCTCGTGCATGTGTGCGAAATGTGTGATAACAAAACACACCAATTCGCAGTGATATTGAATATATCAAAGTCATTTAGCAAATTTGCAGAGCCTAAAAATAACGTCTGCTCGAAGCAGGAAGCCATCACATATTTTTCACCTCCGAAATTATTCAGTTTCCCCTATCATTAACGTCAATCGGCTATTATTTGATGATCGTTTAATAGAAAAACGAAGCGACGAGATGAAAAATTCCCACATTTTTCCCCATTCGCATTCGATTAACATCCAATCAAACGAAACAGTTTCTTTTTTTTTAAAACGATAAGAATTTAAAAAAAAGAAACATTTTGCCAGTTTTTTTGCGAATGCGAAACAGAAGACGAAAAATAAAAACCATATGTCATGAACAACCTTTTTTCACTCTTCCTCATTTTAAATGCGAATGTTTGCAAGAGAGAGCAAGTGAGAGAGCGAGAGAATGCGATGAGAAAAAAATATATAAAATATTATTCGCATTGCGAATAACTGAGTATTATATAATGGAAACAAGTGTGCGTTGTGCACACATCAAGTCATCGATGCGCACAGTTGTTGCTGCGGCGCTCACCCGCTCATCATGCATAAATCTATATATACTTTTGGCTTGGTTCTATGGTTGTATACAGTTCTTTCCGAACGCACATTTAAACGAACGCCGACAGCAGCAGCAGCAGCAGCAGCAGTAGAAGCAACAACAATTATCGCGAATACTACGTCACATGAACGATCGTTTTTGCAAAAATAAGTTTCAGATCATATGTGCGTCATGTGCGTGTACGTCGAGCGAAAATTTGCGAAAAAGAAGAATTCGCTAATGAATAAGCCGCGGCTACACGCACAAGATAATCGACCGTAGCTTTAACGTTTGTGCGAACACTGTGTAATTTATCATTGAGTATATATTTTAAGCACGAAAACAGCGAAATGTCGATGATCGGAAGCTGACTGTGACATTTCAACGTCAATATTTCATTTGCCACATTTTTTTCCGATCAAGTCAAATCAATTTTGCCGACCGAAGAAATGGTGTGCCAAAAATGTTGTTGCGTTTTAAATTCATCATCAAATTTGCTAATCACAGTAATTTGGGTCAAATTTGCTCTGTTTTGTCTCGCTCTCTTTCTTTCCATCAATTGAACTGGCTGCAGCGGAAAAAATAGCATACAAAAAAATCGCTTCTCAACTAATCCAAATGCATAGACGAACACCGAGATATAAAGCGATGGCAATTTATCGCACACCCATCGTTAAAAATGACAATCGCCAATTTGTGCGCATTCGCGTATGTGCTGCAAAAAATAACATTTTTATAGATTAATATATGTCAAGGTCAAATTGCGTTGATTCTCTTTCGCACTGTTTTCGTGACTCGGTTGATTTTGTTATTCTTGTTTTTGTTGCTTTCACATATTCACTGTCTTTTGTTCGTACCGTTTTGTGGCATTTCATTGTTTCGTTTTGCATTTATTCCATACACACACAGAGTGAGTGAGAGAGTGCGCGAGCGCACACACAGTCGATCGCAAAATTGACATTATTCGACCGTTGAGTGTCGTCGCTGCCGTCGTCGTCGTTGTCGACATTGTTGTTATTTTTCACTTTCTGCACATTGTTCGGTTCATGCGTTTCGTTGCAATATTCAACAGAAAATGATGATTTGCTTGTCTTTCGATTAAATTATTGACAAAATATCGTTATGCTGTTTTTTTCCTCTGCTTTTGAGTCAATTTCTTCTTCTTTTTTTTCGGATTCGTTCTCCGTGCGTTCTGTGTGTCTGAAATATAAACACCGGATTCATCCGGCGAAAGAAGAAAAGAACGCAATGAAAAAAGAAGAAAAAAAGCACGCAAAAAAAGCAAATTGACAGCGACAAAGATAGCATGTGCGAAAACACTCGACCTACAACAACAATATCAGCAGCCAAAATTGTGTGTACACACGTTGCGCGATCGGCTCGAGAATGCGGTGAAGTGAGACGCACGATGATACATACACGCAGAGACGCATATGTGTCGCTTGTTGCCGAAATATTCATTTATGTCATGCAATTTCATTTTATAAATAAACATTCATCAGATTCCTTTTTTTCGCTTGTTTGTTTCGTTTTTTCGTTTCGTTCGTTCGCTTCGTCTCATAGTCGTTTGTTTGGTACGAGTGTTTTTGATCTCGCGTCGTTCAGACCGCTTAACATGTTTTGAGTTGACCCATCGAAAATGTTATATGAAGAACTTTGGAGTCGACGATCGATTAGCTCAGCCGCTTGTTCTCTCTGACCGCCAAATGCAAACGATCACTCACACACACTATTCGTTCTTCGTCGTCCGGTTTCCCCCCCCCCCCCCCCCCCCCGGGAATGCCGTTCGCACCAACAAAGACGTTGTTTACGACTTTGTTTTCCTTTTTTTCGGTGCTACATTTTAGGCTTTCGGGTTAAAAACCGCAATATCTGAACCAATAATCATTTTGCAACGAAATAAAAGGAACAAAACAAATGATAATTATATGCTTTGATCACGGTAGTCAATGGTTGGAATCAACAAACATGTGATTTTTTTTCTCTACCTCTTCTTTTTCCTCTTCTTATTCTTCGGAACTTTGCGATAAATGCGCTGTTCGCATACGATTCTCGGAAGGATTCTTTTGGGAAAACGTTTGGGAAAAAACGAAAGGGGCTGAACATTTCAATTGGCATCAGTCACACACACATACCAGTCAATGCGATTTGTTAATAGAGAGAAAAAAGAATGTGACACAGGCGAACGAAAAAGGAAACAATTCCAGAGCGTAAGAGCTAATTAAACATGCAATTTAGACCGTGCTATCGTTATGGCTTCGATACGAGACTTGAGAATTGAGCTTGATTCACATACACATTTGCACGCAATTAGGTTAGGGAAAAAAATGTGAAGCTCGCATATCGGTGTTTGTGTGTGTAGCCATAATATGCGATGACCTTGTTTCCCAAGCTAATCGCTATTTTTTCGCGACTCACTCTCTTTCTCGTACACACACACACGCGCGAACCACATACACAATTGCCCGTGCGAGTCTTTGTTCTATGCGCCAAGTCAGAGTGAAAGAGAACGAGAGCGAGCGCGGCGCATTTGATTTGGTGTGTATATGCTGCTGCTGCTATTGCTGCTGATTTTTTCTTCCGACGGTTGGTATGATTGGATGAATGCGTATTTTGCACACAAAAAATTTCAATCCGAGAACGATGAATGTTAAATTATTGATGTGTATGTGTGTGTGCCGTGCGACCAATCGACTGAAATCAAGATCAACGAAATTTCGGCCATTTTATATATCACACATTGATTTTGGTTTATTTTTGTACCGTGCGCAAACAATTTGGTACGCTGGAGCGCCTTCAAATGAAATCAATTAGAAAGTATTTGATTGGTTTTCGATAAAAAAAAAACATTTAAATGAAGAAGAAGGAGAAAAACGTTCGAATATTCCTGTCAAAATTGACGAATTAATCTCGTTTTGCGCAGCAAATGCACTGACGATGCACGATCGCAACTTGGAAAGAAAGAGCAAAAAACAAACGGCAAATGAAAAATCAATAAAAAAAAAATGGAAATGAATTTTATTGCTGAAAAGAAAAGCCGGTTCTAAGTCAAAACTTGTTAGCGATCCAATCAATCTTATTTCACATCGTAAAAAAAGCAGCATTGGGCATCAGTTACACACGATGCCGTAGTGCAAATAGAAAAAAAGTCGATCGTGTTTTTTTCTCTCTCTCTCTTATTTTTCTATTAATCCACGTATGTCATCCAAAGTCATCTAAATATTCATTTTCCTATCTGCAGATCGTAAAAATCTGCACAACAAGACAAGACACGACAACATCGGACTCCAATCACGTACAATTTCGAGCAAACTGAAGAGAGAGAAAAAACGGCGTGTAAAACGTTTGTACGGTGGGAGAGGGGGAGGAGAGTGTGTGTGTTCATGGAATGTCTATGAAAAGAAATACACATCGAATATATATTGAAAACGGGTAGTTATAAGCATGACTGACTACATGATGAGAATTAAATCTATCAGTTTCATCGCAAACGCCTTTTAATAAATAATATGTGGCAGCTGAGCACAAGCCCTCTACATTTAGTTGCATTCCGCATATTTTACGTTTGATTTCTCTTTCTCTCACTGTCCACAGTATACGCCGGTTTGTTTTTTCTTCACTCGTTCATGATCACTTCGAATGTGTCTTGCAGTAATTATTCCTTTTTCGTAGTGTTGCTCGGCGTGTGCAGTTTGTTTTTTTTCGTTCATTCCTTGTGCTTGTCATTTGGCATGCGTGAGCGCTCGTGCTCACAAGAGATGCGTTTCAGACACAGCGCTGGTGTTGTTGTTGCTGCTGCCGTTGCTGCAGTTCGAACGAAACAAATTGGCAGCAACATTGAATTAAATAATAACGTTCGGAAAAAACAACATTTTAAATTATATTATTGCCATTTTATTACAAATGATCGGTTATCAGTTTTTCTGAGTGCGGTTTAATTACTTTAATTGAGAGCCTCGCAAATCATTCTCGCGACTGCGTTTTGCCGTTTCGTCACAGAAACGCGCGTGCACCGTCTCTTTCTTTTGCACTCTCTTTCGCTATGGCGATCACTTTTCTTTTTTGAATTCGCCGGCCAAGTGATAATTTCCAACGATAAAAGTAACTCGATACGTTCAAAGGCATGGGATATCAATTTTGTTCCCCTTTTCATGGAATACGTTTATTGGTGTCTAATATAGATGCAAATTTGATATGAAAAAAAAAACAGAATTTATGTGCCGGTTTTTTTTCGCCTGTTGTCGCTCGGGCTCATATCCGATCGGAGATTGGCACTTAACTTGAGAGTTGTTGCTTATGAGACCATATTCGATCTGATGACTTGAACAATACGAGATCGTGAGTGCACACCAGCTCACAATACCGCCTAATTGAGTGAGTGGATTGTGAAAGAAAGTTTTGTTTTTCGGTGTGCATGGAATTTGGAATGAATCTAATCTCAATTCAGCACACAAAAAAGGGGCAAAAGAATTCCAAGCGTCTGATAGTGTTTTGATTGTAAAATATGGCCACTGGAATATTTTGCAATATTTTTCTCTGCAATCATAAATCGTCCACCGTATCTCGTGTGGGTGGTAAGTGCGCGTGCAATATATTTACTTGTATCATGTGTGCGATTCATGTTATTGCCTGTACAACCAATTTTTTCCGTTGCTCTCACCCAACGGATCTGCATCGTAGATTTACATATATGTAATATTTATATATATCGAATAGTCGTTTTACTTTAGTTTGATACATCTCGAACGGAACAGTCAGTTGTTCAAAGCCTCTCTCTCTCTCTCTCTCTCGCTCAGCGAGTATGCTGTACTGTTCGACGGAATTCCTTATGAAAACATCGAGATCGATTTCGTTGTACATGCATCAATGACAAGAGTCATCTTCAATTCTGTCATTGGGTCACTTGCATTCTACACATTTTTTTGCTATTTCTTCTTCTTCTTCATCATCGAGTATGCATTTCACCGTTATGTAAGTGTGTGATTTGTAGCGAAAACAAATTTATGTAATCAACAAAATGATGAAGAAAAAAAATGTGTTGTGACGACGACGACGACAACAACGACGACGAATGACTTCATCAGATCACTGCACAGAGAGGAACTGGGTGTCTTGTTCGCATATATGAATTCCTGCGAGAAATTGTATATAGACGCATAGAAAACGCAACAGCACGGAATGAGAAGAAAAAACAGAGAGGAAGAGAGAGAGAGAGAGAGAAGAGAAGAAAAACCGTATAATCGAGAAACAGTGCGCATAGTCTGTGTTTATAGACGACGATATGAGAATGAACGCCAAGATTGTTTGCCAGAAAGAGACCGACAGCCATGCATATAAAAGTGATATAATGAGCGAATAGCCTTGTACTTCTTAATTGTCAATGTCAGTGTCAAGTACGGATCGGAACACAGAAAAAGAATGAAAACCGCACATATATTCATACACAGGAAACAATGTGTGCCGTTTTATTGTGCATGTTGTGTGCATGTAGTGCAGGAATGAGTGAGCGCGCGCGCGCGGCGTCACTGAGTACCGATTAGATTTGCAATCGCATTTCGCATTTATAATATTGGCCGCTCTTTTTCCTGTCTAGGCTTCGTTCGCTGTTCAGTGTTCTTTTTTTTGCTCATTTTACTTCATATTCCCATTTCATTCTATTTTGATATTATTATTTTTTTCGCTTCGTAGAAAATTCTATGCATGCATTCATTGCGTTTTCTACACGTGAATTCATCTATTCTCTCATAAATCGTACGAACCGAACCCACTTGTCCGTTTTTGCTAAACAGTCTCTGCAGAAATTCACTTCATTCCCCGCGATCTCTCTCTCTCTCCCGCTTGATTCTCAAAAGCATTAAATCATGCCGAAATCAAGTTGCCCATAAAAAATGTCGAGCAGCAAAATAGCATCGAACATTTCGTTTATTTCCTGTTATACACTGTATGCAAAAATCATACCAAGAATGAAACTATGAATAAGTAGCTTACGTTGAGGAATCCGGAGCGAAGGTGCACTTTATGATCAAGAAGCCATTCGCATGCGAAAATGGAATTTCTATCTAAATTTTAATAACAATAAATTTGCGATTAAATGAGACGCACAGTTGTAGTTTAGTGGCTATTATCAACGCATACGACGGTAGAAAATTGTCGTGCTGTGCACAAGATTAATAATAGCGATACGGTTTACCGCAATCAAATAACCATTTCATGATGTGCCAGCTCGACAGTGGAGAAGAAGCCAAATGGCAAATAGGTCTCGGGCCATTCGTTTGTTCGTTCGTTTGCCTTGGCTCGCTCGTTGAATGTGCAACAAACGCATCCATCATAGATTCAAATATAAATTCACAATTTTCACTTTGAAATTCGAAAAATTATTTGCTCAATTCACGCCATGGATCCGTAAAGGCGAAAATGAGGCGAACAGAAAATTAATTTGTATGCAGTGTTTTTTTCTTCTCTTCTTCTTCTTCTTTACAACGGCGCTCGTGCGCTGACTCGCTGGCTAGTGCAGTACAACTTGAAACTTCATTTTTCGTGCGTTCGCATTCAAAAGGTGATTTAGACTTGATTTATGATATAAATTAGCCATTTTCGCGCATTATATCGCCACATTGGGTGCGTGCACAAATCTAAATCGAAATCAGAACGAAACAAATGCAATGGGGCATCGAATGGCTACACGGTTAGACCAACGATGGCTGAGTATGTTGTGTATACCGATGCCGAGTAAAACACAAAATAAATCGAATCAAATGGAATTAACGTATTTGGAATTGTAATTGCAGTGCGCGACAACAGGCACGACACGAAATGCCACACACAAACGACCGATATGCGAGAGATAGAGCCAAGACACAGAGCGAGCAAGAGTAATAGAGAGAGAGAGTGAGACTGATCATCAAATGAGCATTTGTAATTCATTCTTATTGAAGCCAGTCAGCACGCCAAATTGCCAACGATTATGCACCGCATAATATATATGTATATATCTCTGTCTGTGTGTGCATATATATGTATAACCAAGTGGATGTCAATGGTGATGCGCAATTGTCCAAAACCAAATCAATTCGAGCCCATGAGCTATAGCTTTCTGTTCTGTATGTGCTCGGTTTGTTTATTTAATGCACTCTATACATTCGCCACTCAACAAGGCACTCTAATCGTAAAACTGGATTGTAAAATTGGCGACGCTTTTCTAAGGCCGCACAACACAACGCACAAAATTAAACGAAACTTGAAGACACGGGAGAAAGAGAGTGAAAAAAAACACATTCAAACTCATCGTGAACAAAGAAAATGGGCAACGCTTTAAGTTGTGTGTTCACGTCTTCAAGTGACATAAGTCACATTTTCGACAAATAAATTCATTTGAAATCGTGATTTTCAGCGTTTGTATCGTGTTTCGACCGAAGGGAAAAAAACACATTGCCTATGTGATACTTCCTGCAACAAAACACAGCGCAGCACACAGAAAAAGCGTCGTGAAATACATTTTCTTGTCTAGGGAGCGATCGTTTTCGTTCTTCTATGCTCGTTTTCGACATCCTACCTCAATTGCTCAGTGTGCATTCTCATTTAGTGTGGCCCAAAGCGAGATGCAAAAACACATAGGGAGAGAGAGAGAGAGGGAGAGAGAGAGAGAGAGAGGAAAAAAATGGGAATGTTTCACGAAATAAAAACATGAAAATCGACGATATGAAAACGGCTCTTGCTCACTACTCACTTCTGGCAACGAGAGATAGTTTCGCGTAGATTAGACATCATTTTTACCTGAGCATGGATGTACCTCAATCGAGATGACGGGGCAACGATTATATTGGCCATGTACTCTCAGCGCTTTCGTTAGATGCCTGTTCGCATTCGTTTCGCCATGAAAATTTATACCGTTTTAATCAAATTATGTAGCGAGTTCTCGTCGTTGTTCTTTTTTTCTCATCTCTTTGCTTGAACAATTCTTGTGGCGTTTTTATTACTTGTACCTAATGTGACAGCCAACAAGTACACTGCTGCATCGGCCAGTTCGTTTCCAATAAAACACAATAATTCTGTCAAAAGTTCTCCGTAGGACAGTTTTCGTTGTGCGTAATTCATTTTACAACAAAAAAAAAACGTCGCGCTGGCGATGTCACGCGCACACACACACACACTGCATCGGTAATGTTCATCAGGAATCTGCACTTTAGGTTGGCTCTGGCTTAGCTCTTGAAGTGAATGAAAAAGGCAACAACGACAAAAAAAACGCATTGCGAAAAGTACAAAACAATCGGTTTGGCGACAGTCGCGCGATGGAAGAAGCGTCGCAATCCACATTGTGTGTGAGTGCTACGGCGAAACAAAACGTGTTTTTTGTTTGGTTGATGATGCTTTTTCTGGCCGCCGTTGTGCATTAGATACCAAATAGACATCGCTATTAATTTCTGTTATGAATCTATCGTAGAGCGGCAATATAGTGCTGCGGTTGCACAACAGTTTGTTTGTACTGTGCACTTTTTTCGTCGTCGTCGTTGACGTCGTTGTCTTCTTCTACTTCACTGTTTGCCATATGCACGTTGTATTTTCTGTTGGCAGTGATCTGTTTTTTTGCACTATGTGTGTGAGTCAGTTTGCCGGTGCACAAGAGTGCAACCAAAGAGGCAGACCTACACGCAGCAACACAGTTCCAAACGAGAAAAAGTGTGTGTGTGTGTGTGTACGATATGCGTTTGAAAATAAAAACATTTGTGCGAGCGCTCGCGAGCACACACACAACCAACTCCAACTGATTTATTCTTCTATTTGGCATGAAAACCAACAATATGCTCGATTTATGTACTTTAGCCATATTTACAAACAAAACACTTTTTTCCTCGTTGATGCGATGCATTTGTGTACATGGTCGCAGTGTGCTCGCCACGTCTTCGTTCCCATGCGGACTCGCAAGGTGTGAGCGGGCGCAAAAATGCACGACTTCTATTTTTTTGTTCATTGTCTACTGCTGCTTGCTGTTGCTGTTGTTGCGCGTTCGGCTGCATTGCAAAATCCCTTGTTATTATTGTAATTTCCATTTTATGTGTGTGAATATTAGATCAAATCGGTACGAAGGATGCGAATGCTGAACGAAAAGAAATAACAACAACAACAACAACAACATCAACATCGAAAAAGTGGCACACACAATTGCACTGCGCAAAAGATAAATACTCAATAGATTTGTATATATAATATTGCATAATGTAATACATTTTATTCGTGTGTTCCTATCTATTTGCGTAAATCTCTTAATACTTCTTTTCTGACTGCGCACATTTTTTTGTTGTTGTTGCTGTGATTGTCTCTCTACCTCTATTGCAATAGATATCAATCGAACGTTTTCGTTGTTGCGCGCGTAAATTTTCCACATTCGATTCGAATTGCAGCATGTTTTTTTTTCATTTCTTACTTAGTTTGATCGCTTCAAATTGTCTACATATTATATTGTTTTCGTTTGCCTTTTCCGCATCGAACTGCCATATGTAATTAACTCATGAAGATCAAGATGTGGAAACAAAATGCACTCTCTTTATATTTCAGAGTACTGCATTGAGCTGTATGAGTCAGACGCACCGTTAAATTGCACACACGGGATTGAAAGCGCTCGATCTCGGGTATTAATGGAAAATATCTCGTCTTTCAACTGGAAATTTGATTTATAAAAAAATACACTCACACACACATAATTCAGAGCGCAGTAGAAATAAGATACGCATTTCACCCCAAAGCATTGCAAATATTTTATAGTCTACATTATTATTGTTGTTGAAGCTATCAAAAATGCACGGCAAAATATATTGTATCTCTCTTGAATATATATACATCTTCTCTCCCGCTAGTCTTTGCCACAATCACGCATTACTCTTTGCCTGGTCATAACACATACACACACTTTCACACAGACACACGTGCATCGAAACTGATATTATAACCGCCGAGAGAATAAATTTATAGAGAAAGAAATAATAAAAACAAAAATTATTGAAATTCATAACAATTTGCTTTATTGTGCTAAAACGTAAAACGTAATTTATTATTGCGGCGATAACAACACGTTTACACGTTTTGCGTACGATTTTGCACTCGAAAACATTTGCGTTGCGAGTGTGAAAATTTGCATCGCTTTTTGGTCATATCAAGAAATAAAAAAAAATGTGGTATTCGAGCAAAGGCACGAACGCGGAACTGTTTCGCTTTTTTCTCTTTCCCGAAGACATTTGCTTTTCTCTCCAAAGGAATTTGGATGAATTTTGCTACTTTTGAAATGGTTGTAATGAAGTAAATTTGATGCAATTTTAGAATTTTTGCCAAAAAAATTTGATTCAATCTCAGGCATTAAATCAAAAAACAGCGATCTTTGCCATAGAAATTCCCTTAGACGTAAAAATGAAACCCTTAAATTGCTTTCCCAATTCTCTTTGAATCTCCCTTGAAATAATTTCAATCAAAAATGCAGACAAATGCGTCGCTAATTGCGCGAAATGGCTTGTGCGATAACGTCAGCCAGACAGCCCAAGTCCGATGTAATTCCTTCCTTGTTTCCATTTCTTTTTCTTTTCCTTGGCTCATAAATTGAGCGGTGAATAGCAGTAAAATTGGATAAAAAGCGAGCCAATTTTTCGTTATTATCGTTACGAAGAACGAGTATTTCGCCTCCTTTGGGGTATTATATTCCGAGTCAATCGCAAAATCGTTTGTAAACGTACGAACGATTGGCCGGAAGGTGAAAAACTCAATTGTAATAAAAATCATTTTGCTGCGAACTTCAAAAAATAAAATAAAATAAGACAGAAACAAAAACGGTTAACGGCAAATTCAACTAGTGTATGAAATGGCCATTGAAGCCAGGAGCAGAAGAGAGATAGAAAAAAAAGCGCGCACTACAATTGTGAACATAAAAATGTGCGTACATAACATTTCTTCGTGTGCGCGGCCAGGCCAATTTACATGCCAGTTTATGCGGCACATTGGCCAAAGTATAGAGTCTTTCTTCTACTTCTATATGCTTGATTATTGGTCGTTATGCCAGCCGCACAAAGCATAAAACCGAAAAAAAATATATTTTTTTTTTATTCAAATTCATTAAAATTGATAGAAAAAGGCAACAACATTATTTTCAATTTATTGGTGCAAGGCGGCTGTAATCTACATTTCGCCGTCGACGCGCGTTTATATCTCTCGCACCCAACATTTTAATAACAAATCGAAAATCGTGCAGCCAAACCGATCGAACACCGTGTGCATATCGAACAGACATATGTGAAATTGGCCGAACGGAGCGGGATAGACAGTTAGAGAGGGGGAGCGGAAGAGTGAGCAAGAGATAATAGGAAAAATGCAGGTATCCAAACTGATGTACACACACTTTAGATATCGAAGATTCGAATCGATGGAAGCTTAATCGGAACAGTTGTGTTTCATGTACTTTCCATATAAGCCACACCGTACACTGCCAAATGCGGAATTCAAAAGGAGAGAAGCACAAAAAATGCAACGCATTTGAATATTACTATTACCGCTTCTGATGCTCCATTGCATCTTCTCGTTTGATTCTTTGCGTTCGCTCTCCTGTTTGTTCATACCACTAATGATTATTAATCTGTAGATGATTTTTTCACTGCCGCCACTCCTGCTGCTGCTGCTGCTGCTAGGCCTAGGCATACGAACCGGTGAAGAGAAATATGGGCTCAAAAATAGCATTATGCGTTTGTGTGTGTTTTTTTTGTGCGATCGTCTGGCAATTTTTATAAAATTCCTTCAAAGGCTGCTTCCAGCAATCATTTTCCACTTATAACCATTATTATTTGCATGAAAGCTCATTCACTCGCTCTCAAATACAAAATAAAAACAAATGCAAATTGCCAATTGGCTTCATTATGCTCTCTCTCTCTCTCTCTTGCTTTGTGCTCACCATTTTGAGAGTCGTCGTCGTGTTTTTTTCTGTTCGCTTCTTGTCGTGAACATCGATGTTGACAACAAAATGCTTGCACAACATGGATTCGATAGTGCGGCAATATTCCTGTGTAAAAAACAACGACCAGCGAAAAAAAATGTGAATGGGAACGATGTACTTTTATTGGAAAAACTCTTGTAATTCTCTTTATTTAAACAGGCGAGCAAACCCGAGGCAATGATCGGTTTTGCAAACGTCCAATAAACACTTTGATGTGTCAAACAATGGAACATCAAAGATGTTCACACATACACACGCAACAAAACGCAATATTCACCGAATTAGTTCAAGCTCAAATCTCGATAAAAAGCGACGTTTCAAAGCAATTTACACCCGTTCAAAAAAAAAACGGCTACCGAAATAAAAACAAAGGAAGAAAATCGAGGCGAACGAACGTCGGTATTCATGTTGAAGGTTTGCCATGGCTTTGGCTTTGGCTTTGGCTTCACTGAAGCTTGTCTCACGCATCAACGCCAATTTCTTCTTTTCTTTTCTGTTCTTGCTGTTTTTTCTCTCACTCGGTTTCGAAGCATTTCATTGTCATGGATGCGATTGATGCACGAATAGAATAAGGTTTACGGCATCGGTGTTGGCATCGAAATCCCGTTCATTTGTATGTGTGTGTGATCAAATACAATTAAATGATTGGCACGGGTCCATCCATTTTATTTATAACAAGTTCAAGTGTTGAGCAGACGCGCAATTGAAAGTTGTTGGCAACGGTTCTGATGACACACCAAACACCACAAAGTGAGCCAGCGCATCTGAGAGAGAAATATTTATGTCTGTTTAATTACATTCAATGTTTGAATTTACAACATAAACTAAATTTGTTTAGCGAAGACGAAACAAAAAACAAACACAAAAAAGTGTCGTTGTGCGGCAAGCGAAAAATCAAAACTGTACGTTATTTTCCTGTTGAATCCATTGCCAACGAAATACAAAGTATGTTAGCAACTAATAGATGACACAAATCGAGCACATAAATTATATTTCACACCGAATTTGAAGGCATGAAAAATGTGTGTGAGAGTTTCAGTGGAATCAATAAATTGACACAAAATGCCGTCAATTATTCAGATGCGCGTAAAAGAAGAGCACGAGATCGTTCTCGTTGCAAGCGTCGACATTGTCGTTGACGATGAGGCGTGTGTGTGTGTGTGCGCGCGCTTCGATCCACATTTCAAATGTGTGCATAGAAATTTCGAGTGAATTGTTCATTGGTTGCGCGTGCAACAGTTCTTGCTCGCTTCGTCGTCGTTTTTCTTCTTCGTTGTCGCAGCTCGGCGTTTTTTTTTGCTCGTGCACTTCAATTCGCAGTATTGAAGAATATGTATGGTTTCACAATGCACTCAAATTATATGTAAAATTGTGCACAAACAAACATACGATCAACGAAAAAAAAAACAGCACAGCAACAACAACGGTATGTGTTAAATGCAAATCACTTCAGTGTCTTCCCTGCAAATTGCCGCACTCGGTTTTGTTCTACCGAAATGATGAGCTGTAGCTCAAAAAAAATCGAGTCTTTTCCGTGCCCTGGTTCGATTTGGCAATTGTGTGTATGTTTGTAGTCGATATTTTTGTGGGTTTATTTGTGCGCCACCTCACATCTATTTCCAATTGACTTATGCGGTCGCCGTCGTCGTCGTCGCCGCCGCCGCTGTCGCTATTTAATGTTTATTACAAAAGAACTGCAATGCTTACTGCAGCGTTTCGATTCTTTGCTCTAGCACACTAATTACAACCGTTGAAATAACAACCACTTGCGGATGCAAAGCCCAAACCAATTCACCGACATTTTTGTTGTTGTTGTTGTTGTTTGAGGCTTTGCGATGTGCCAATTTCGTTTAAGCATCGGAAATTCAGAGTGTATGCAACAAAGCCTCCGTTCTCTCGGCTGGCTGTGCGAAACAAACAAACCGAACGGCCGAAGTGACGAGCGCAAGAACAAAAAGAAAAATCGAACGCAATATGAACAGCAAGTTTTGAATATGCAACAAAAACGCATTTTTCGGTATATTTTTAGATGCTTAATCAGAGATGGGCAATTGGCATCGTTTAACGATCGCAAATTTAAACCGAGCCACTTTGAGATTCAAAGTTTGAGTATACACTACACATCGTTCCCAGCTCTACGCGTCTATTTTAGATTTAATGATGTTCATGCCCACCACTGTGTGCAACAACAACATTGAAAAAGAGAGTCTATTGATTAAGCCGAATGTGTGTGTGTATAGTATGTGCGAAGAGAGTGACTTAGTATTTGCAAACGGTATTTCAGTGTGTGCGTGCGTGTGTTCGATAGAGTCGATGTTTTTCCTATCGTTTTGGCGCATGCATTACGCTTTGATGTCTTTCGTTCGGCATGTTTGCATTGTTTGCCAGCCCATATTCAGTTGCGATTTGACGGTCTAGGTTACTGCAGTTCTAGTTTTAATTTCATAACGGCCAGAGGTGACACAATTTGTTCGGTTCGTTTTCATTTCTTCTATTTGTTTCGCATCTCTCGCTAACAGCGATCGATCACCTTTTTTTCTTGTGTATGTACGGTGCGTTTCAAGTAAATTTGATATTTTGTATCAGGTGCTTTTGTCCTTCGTCCACCTACATTTTGCGCTACATACAAAATCAATGGTGATCAGCATGACTAATGTTTCCGGTGATGTAAAAAATGTGATAAGTCAAAATTCTCTCTGAATGCCATACATACACATTTTTTTCTTTTCTCGATTCGAAAATAAAATGACAGCGATGAAAAATACAAATGAATTCAGTTTAATTGACTTTGATGATTAGAAACGAAACCGTCACACAGTGAAGTGATATTATAAAATTTTTCGCCGTAGTCATAATCGTGTGCCGTTTGCTCTATCAATGTCACACATTGCACGAATATGTGCACGCGCATTTTTCTACCGCGTTTAATGCAATTCGAAACAATAAATAAAACGAAGCAGCGGCAGCGGTGACAGCAGCGACAAGAGAGAATAGAACAGAGAAATAAAAACTAATATGCACAACGGGAAATCAAATTGAAAATATATGTCGTCATTGCACGTCTAAAAACAATAATTGTGTGGCCAGTTGCGAGAGAGAGGGAAAAAACGTAAGTGCAGAGAGAAAAAAAAACGATACACACAAAACATACACATAACAACAGAGAGAGAGGGAGGTAGCAAAGAGCGAGAGAATTGAATATTATCTATTTGACGCGTGTATAACACGCTAGTGTGCTTTGTTCTACTGACCGACACCGACAACAACGACGACGACGAAGCTTACGATGCCAGTGTGCAAGCAATGATCCATTCATGCAGCCACACATACACATGCTAGGAATAATTTATGATACGCAAAAAGCTGCAAATTGAGTGAAGTCGGAAAGAGAGATAAGTAATAGAGGAGAGAAAAAATAAATAGAACCAAAGCAACGAAAGAAGAAGAAAAAAAATTCATCAGTAAAACGCGCGCAAAAATCCTTGAAAACGTATTAGAATATCTAATTTGCTGATATATATTTATAACTGACAAAACCGAAGAAGCAAAAGGCAACAGCAGTGACGACAGTACAACATCAGGGAAAGAACATGAGTACGCGCTCGTTGAGTCGTGCGCACTAGCGCGCGTCTGTTTGAATTGCATGTGCGAAACTTTGGCGAAGCACGAGTGAGAGAGTGTATTTGAGTGTAGGGCAATATGTGTAAAGTGTAAAGCGGTAGAGAGAGAGAGATAGGAGTGAGGAGCGTATCGTGTATGTGCTGTTTATGACGGGATTAGTGCATTAAAAATGCAACTTTGTTACGACTGAAGAATATCATTCTATTGTTACGGTGCCCGACGCATACCAAGACACACCGCAGAATAAACAAAAGTTTTCACACAGTCAGTAATATAGGGTGCAGTGGCAACGACAGAGGGAGGGAGAGAGAGAGAGAGAGAAAAGAACACGCAAATTCAATCTACGACAGACTCATCAGCGACAGCGTCATTCGTACAAAACTCACAGTTGAATAATATAGCGAAAAGCCAAAGTAACTCCATAAACTTCGTGTGCAATATTTTTTTTTCTTTACTGCCTGCTCTGTACTCTCCTCGTGCTTCATAATTTACGGTATTGGCCGCCCCGACATCGCCTAACCGTATCTTTAGTAGGAAACTCGTGTGTGTCGAGCAGCGAAAAAAAATTGGCGGCAGCGGCAACACATCCAAACGGCGAAATAGATTAAAATTTATCATTTTGGATGTAGTTTATCTATTTTTGCCGTTTGATTTCAATATTTTTTTTTTCGTTCGTTCATTCTTACGAGCGATTGCTGTATTGCATTTTGTGCACACGCGACTGGAAAAAAATCGCGTCAATTTTTTTTCTCCTCCAACCGCATTGCATTCATACAAAATTTATTTAAGTCGATTTTATGGCCGATTGTTTTGCCAAGTGAAAAATAGTTCTAGCGATAAAAAGTGACACAAATAATGTGTTAGTTACACACACACACACAGAGAGAGAGAGAGAGAGAGAGAGAGAGAGTGAGAGAGAGAGAGAGAGCTAGTGTGTGCGTATGTATTGTGCAAGAGTGTGAGCTGAAGAGCGGTCTCTGGCTTTAAATCCCGAAGAAAAATAGAAGAAAACTCGCAACCCGTCAAAATCCGCAACAAAACATACACAGAGAGAGCGAGAGAAGAAGTCTCGTTGAGCCGACGCTCGTTGTTTTTTCTGTTCTCAGTCTCGTGCTCTCTACATATTCGTTCCATTTCGGATCGGTATCACCATATCAAACGTCTACCGTGTTGTATACAAGTATGTGTTATATTGCATTGCATTTATTGAATTAGTTTGTTTTTGGTTTCTCTTTTTTGTCTTCAAAATGTTGTGTGTGTGTGTTTTTTATATATCTGTTTTAACTGATTGTATTGTTACAACGAAATAAACTGCATGTCATGAATCTATTATCTCTCGCAAAGCGTACACGCCGAATGGACCGAGGGAAATATGGAGAGAAAGAGTTTGGAAGCACAAAAATATGCTTGATCTATTTACTCAGAAAAAACTAACAACTGCACATAAAATGGTTTGGCAGCTTTGATTCCATTACGGAACATCAATGCCACCGGCTGTTCGAATGCGACGCGCAAATCATTTATAATTGGAAATATTTCAATTATTGGAATTCAATTGACCGCTTTTTGTCTTTCTCTCGCACACTCCCTCTTTCTAACTGCATTGCACTTCAATTTGTTTTCGCACACCGTGTATGCATTCTCTTCAGTGTGTGTGTGTGTGTGTGTGTGTGTGTGTGCGTGTGTGTCACTCTTGATCGTCGGCTATTATTTTATTCGTGGTCGCAAATCGTGCGATGCATTAGGCCCCGGCCAGTTTGGTAATCTGGATATGAAATAGCTCAGCTATCGATGCTAGCTCACTTCATTAATCACATTGTGTGTATGCGCGGAGCGACAGCGGAGGTGGTGGTTTGGAAGAGTGTCCATTTGTAACGGCATTCGTATTAGCTTTTCATTTATTTAAAAGCCCCAATAGACAACAAGAGCAACTCACGCGCTCGACTCAACCAAACAACATAATTGTATTTGTTTGCCTGTGCATCGTCAGGAGGTCGGCCGCGGCAGCACAACTTAAAACGAACAACATAGTATATGTACACAGCTGCTAATTTATCGAAATCATTAATTAATAATACCAAATAGAAAAATGTTCGACATTGCACTCGAACGGAATGTGGCGATTGCAACGACGACCAATTTATAAAGATATTTTTTTGGTGTTTGGCGCGCGCGCTCGTTCGTTTCGTTTGGTGGCGCGCGTTGAGTGTGCGTTTGTAATGTGGATAAAAATTACTTTTCCGGGTATGATAGCATGTTTGTTTGTCGAACGGCGGCAACTATGAAATTGCCAACACGAATACGACGACGACAGCAACAAACAGAGAAAAAAAAACGATTTTTTGAACACCTCAAACCACACACGATTCAGTATTTACTCAATAGATAACGTATAACCTAATGGAATGTGTATCGAAAGAGACAGTCGTCGATTTGCTTGATTCTTTGCTGCAAGCCTGAGACGTAATTTTTCTGTGTCTTTCTCTTTCCGCCAATCGCTCGACTTTTAATGTCTTAACAACCGTTGTGCATCGAAAATCGCAGGCTTTCCTGTGTGTGTGTGTCTACGTGCGCACAAGCCAATTCTAATTAATAAGATCAAGAAGCGAAAAATGGCAACGCATATTCAACGTCAGCGCGCAAGCATATTTCAGATTTAGATAATAGCGACTGGCATGAGCATGCCAAGAATTAGAGAGAAATTGATAAAAAAATACATAATGAAAAATGTACCATGGTAAAAACCATGAGAGCCGAGCAAAGGGGGGACAGAAAAAAGGCGATGCAGCCTTAAAATTTTGTTCAAAAGCCTACACATCGTAATCTCTGACATTGTCGCCACCGCCATCGACATCGACATCGACTCAACCGCATTCACGTGCCTCACTGTGTAGCCACAGCCCGCACTCCGAACGAGGAAGAAAGGAAAACACAAATGTGGGAAGGATGCATTGTCGTCATAGATTTACGCAGTATGTTGTGTTATCGTATGGAGTGCATAAAAACCACCACACGCACGCTTCGCATAGCATACGCAAATTTCTTCATTAACCGCGCAAATAAGGACGCGAACAACGAACGCAGTTATTATTGAAATTTCATCATTTTTAATTAGTTCACGAGAAGCAAGTATGAAGAAAGGCAATACATTGTGTATATGCGATACGAACGATAAGAGGTGAGCCCAACAAAGTGGCGGTGTGCACTTAAAATGCTATATAACGTGACTGCGTGATTAATAATTAACATTCGACATAACCGCAACAAGATAAGAAAATTCTATCGCATATCTCACGAATGTGCAATTTTAATCACTTTGCTAGGCGAAATGCATCTGATGAGCTGGTTGTTATTGTTGTTGCTGCTTGAATCGTTGTCCTTGTTGAATAATTTTTATGTTGGATATATAGTGCATTCGCTCATTTCACAGCGGAAATTAAAATTTACATCGTCTTTTTTTTTCATCGTTGCTGAAGAAACTGTGTGGCAAAATTGAGCCGAGAGAGTTTTTTTGCTCTTGTTCGTGAAAAATCATAATTCAAATTGGTTTCACGCGCGTTTTTTTTCTTCACTCGAAAAATCGTTTCAATAAAAAATGAATTCGAAAACCAATTTGCAGCCATGTTTCTTCTAATTTTCTAGCTGTTCATTTCTTTTTTGTTGCACTCTTTCGCTCTTGAATCAACAAAATGCGAATCAAAATAAAGCACTTGAAAAATCAAGTCACTTGTTTACATCTTGGTAAATGATTCGAAATAGCATGCGGAAAGAGAATGAGATGTGAAAAATGGATATGCAAAATGTGTATTTAAGTGAATATTAGATGCTTTATGGGCTGCGTTGAATAGATCTATATCTATCTTTCGCATAGAGGTTATTTATTCGTAGCACACACACTCACACACGCTGTCGACATTAGTAACGTGTGCGCGCCATAAAATTACGGCCACATGATTGAGAAGAGAAAAAAAGCGATAGAGAAAAGAATGAAAGGCACACACAAATAGGCAAGCGGCAGGCAGGCAGGCAATCGTTAAGAAATAAACATTGCACTTGTAACAAAAGGCCTGAGCCTATGCAAATGGAACGCGCTCATTCCAACTTGTTGTCATGTAAATTGAATAACCGATCGTTTTTCTCTCACTACTGAATCTCAATTTCTGTCTCGCTCTCTCTCGCTCGCGCTTGCTCACTGCGTACTCACGCTGTTTGAGCTTGTTAATCAAAATAAAATGCAAGACGAAAAGCCAAACACATTTCACATGCTCTTTTCCAATTTCGAAAAAATTCGAAATTCAAAAATGAAATTGCACTGCGCGGTGATTTAATACGTACTAGTATTATTTTTTTTCGGTGGAATTGCTGGTTGTCGTACGCAGTGGTTATTTAAAATTTATGACCTTTTGGGCCCAAACCAAATGAGCTATGCTGCTGCTACTCTCTCTCTCTCTCTCTCTCGCTTGCTGACGTTCAATTTTTCGGACCTCTGCACAATACGATAATTGTAACGGTTCCGCACATTTCATTTTTAGATACCAATTTTGTACTGTTCGCTTTTTCTTATTAGAAAAATAAGAGCTTATGTGCCCCATAAAAGAATCCATTCCAATTTCTCTCTCCTCTCGGCGGGATTGACATTTTACTTATTTTCTTCTTGGCTGGCACACTGGAAATGGATGTGCAGTGCAGTGAACCGAGCGCGCATGTAAAAATGTGTTTGATTGTGTGTTTTTCGGTGTCGTTTTCATGTGTATAATTTATGTTGTCATGCCGATGGGCGCAAGTAAGAGTGAGACGCAGCACAGAAGGGACGATAGAAAATGCAGTGCACCGCGCGGCGAGAGAGCAAGGAACATGTTGTAAATAATAAACGTCCAACGAAAATGCGAATAAACCATAGCCCTACTAATGTGACAGTCAAATATTCTCATTTGTTAATGCATTTATCTATGGGCCGCGATGCACTTCACGAGATACCGTAGTTGTTGTTGCACTGTTTTCCATGCTGATTTTCTTACAACACTTACTCAATGGCCACTCTTTCCTTCTCTCCCTCTCACTTTCTCTCTGTCGCACTTTTTCCCGCTCCAGCAACCGTTCGCTTCCTTTATCGCCATTCGTCGCTCTTTCACATGCTTGCTGCACACGCGCATAATTTAAGTCTCTCAGTTTGGGTGCTTTTTTAGCATCGAGTGTGTGTGTGTGTCTGTTTTTTTTTTTCGTCGTCGTTACTTTTGTTTGTATGCATTTTTGCCAATTTTGCTGCTAATTTTATTCATTGTTGTAAAACGGCATTTTTCTTCTTCGTTGTTGTTGTCGTCGTTGTCGCAGCCGCAGTCACACAAGTCACATTTTATTTATTTATGTAAATTGTTATTGCGTAAGCACATAAAACCATTTCTATAAACGAGAAAAAAAAGAGAAACGAACGCGCTATGAGCGCGGAGTGCTGCACACGGCTGGCAACAGCAGCAGCAACAACAAAAGAAAACAGTACACGAATTGTAGTGCAAATATTCAAATGAACCTCGTTTATTCTTCTCCTGCTGCATGTTTTGTGTCACTATTCGTTTACTTCATTCCTTTTCCTGTAGTGTATGTTTTGCTGGATTTCTGCTTGTATCTGTCTTTCATCGCTGTACTACAGCGGAAAAAAATAACCAACGCTATCTCACACTCTCAGCCAGAGTTTGTGTGTAGTATATGTTGTGTTCTTTCGCTGATGATTCGTTTTTACTTTTCCGCACACGAAGTGTGTGAGAAAAGTATAGCGATCGACGTGATAAAAAGTGTGCTAATTTTTGTTGTGTCCACGATAACTTTCGAACCGCTCAAGCGATTTCGCTCAAATTTGGCCAGGAGTCACAATTAGTAAATATCTTGGATGTATCAAAAGTTGGGCCAAATTTGACCAGTTCATCTGGTACTTTTGGGACATCATAGAAAATCACCCAAGGGTCCCCCCTTGGATTATGTCGAAAAAAATGTCTTTTTTCATCAACCTAGAGTGGATTGTTGTATCGTTCTCACATAGTTTTATAATATTAGGCAGTGTTAAATGGTTTATAACACGATGGCCGACCATGATGGCCCAAAAACTACGATTTTTGGTTGTGTCCACGATAACTTTCGAACCGCTTAAACGATTTCGCTCAAATTTGGCCAGGAGTCACTATTAGT